TCTCCTTCTTCTCCTTCTCCTTCTCCTTCTCCTTCTCCTCCTCCTCCTTCTTTTTCTTCTTATCCATATTGTTTAAACAATGTTTTCTACCCTCTCGACCCCTCCTCCTCAAATTCTTCCCCTCTCTTCATCCTCTTTATCCTCCTTCTCCTTCTGTCTTCCTCCTCCTCCCTTTCCCCCTCCTCTTCCTCCTCCTTCACTGGATGCCTTGCTGTGTGACATGCTTACCTACCAACTTGGCTGTCACTCAGGCATTTTGGATTTCTTCTCGTAAATGAAGTCCTTGCTTGGGTTATTTCTATCAACATTGTTGAAATAATACTTCAAATTGGATGAATACTGTCTCTCTACTAATTCTCAACGTCATGGCTTTTTCATTTTCGTCTGACCGCGGTTAAAACAAGATAAAATAGAATCGTTCGGTTTAATGTTCTTTGCATAAGGATCTAAAAGTCGGATAAACAACAGAATAAAAAAAAGCACATTAACAAAGGTCACTGCGAACTGTGGTTCCGACCCGTTTTCTTTGATGTAAGCCAATAGCGGGTCAAAAACATGATCGGACATTTCAAGCATACACTAAAAACATTTAAAAGTAGACTTATTTTCCTGAAGACCATACTCTAAAAGCCCCCCAAAATGCAATTCAAGAGACGGGGTGAGTAATATTTTAGACTCACGTGGAGCACTTGGCGACGTCTGGGCAGCCGAGGGAGGAAATAATACAAGCTTACACTAAAATGAGGGGACAGGGTGGTGTCGCTGTCTCAAAATGAGCAATCTGTAGGCAAAGTTAATGTAGTCATTTATTTGAGTGATCCTGTGTATGCATCCAAAGAGAGGACCAAATAGATCAGATCCATACAGGACCCAAAGAGAAAAAAAAATATTGCTGGATCAAGATTTTAAACAAAATTGTTAGTTTGTTCACTGCCCGATACAAAAGCCATGCAAATTAATAAATGAGTTAGAATGTTTTAATGCTGTCAGACGAAAGTGAACAAACTATAATCGAACTTCTTAGAAGACTACACTTAGGCCGGTCCCAGAGTGGCTCTGTAGGTCTGACCTGTAGCTCGCCTGGCTCGCACTGTGCAAATGAATGTATATATTATCGTGTGCTAAAGCAGCGTAGCTGTATCGTCTGTTTTTTGTCAGCAGAGCTGCGCGATGCGTCAGACGTGCTATTCAACAGTGTTGTAAAAATGGCTGACATGTGTCGCCTCGCTTCGTGTTTATTTTCGACTGAAACTCTTCACATGTCATCAAAATCAACAAGAAGTAAGTATTATTAGGTGTTTTACTATTAAATTTTGATGCTAGCTTCAACACTTGGCCACAAAAGCACCAAGAAATGCACTTTACTTTGAAACTTCGAATCGAGAGGTTGACCTAGTTTCGACTGTTGTCGTAGGCCTAGGCCTAGATCTAGGCTAGGTGTGCTTCTCTAGATTAAGATGCAGAGGGATGTCCCTAGAA